GTATTTAATTTAGTGATAATGTAAAGAAAATACAAATTAAACCAAGATTTATAGTAATTATAATTTTTGATCCATACATTGGTAATGTCTGACCGGGCCTCGTGTCACTTTATGTTCAACAAACTGGGCCCCGAGGTCAAAAAGTTTAAGAACCCCTGAATCCACAGCACATGCTTCAAATGCCAGCCTCTCTGCTGGTATGGGGGTGCATCTGGGAAGACAACATCAGACTAGAACGAGACAACAAAACCTCCYGAACTGGTCTACTTTATAAATGACGACAGTCAAAATGAAAGGTCTGACTTGCCTGGACCAGAACAGGACTCGGTCCGTCCCTGACAGTCGGTCTCTCTGAGGTCCTGCTGCGAGCCCGGCAGCTGGTGCATGAGCTGGACCGTGTGTCTCAGACGCTCCTCTGGGTACGTCTCTGCGATGCTCTGGACCCACGCAGGTACGTTCGCCATCTGAGCGCGGGTTGGACCCGTTGCCATGACGACCCGTCGGGCCACAAGGACGCTGCCGTCCTGAAGATGGACTTGGAAGTGTTTGACCGTCTTCGTCTCCGTCCCTCTGACGTTCTGTGTCTCAGCCACAGGAAGGATTCTCTCAGCCGTTCCTTTCTGCAGGATCTGGTCCAGCTTGAACCTCCTCACCTGCCCAGGTGGAGGCAGAACCTGTTCGCGTCTCTTTTTTCAATAAACATTAGAAGAAAATAGGACGTCTGACCTGGTCTTTGAAGAAYTCCACGCTCAGTTTGGTTCCCGGCAGACTGAAGGATAAACTCTTCTTCAGGCTGGAGCTAAAGTTCAGCCGTTTCCTCTCCTTCCTGCCGAGACGCYCGTCGTTGAAAAAGGCGTTTTCGTCCAGGATGTAGATCTGATCCGGGAGGCTGTGGAGCTCCGCTGAACGCTGAGACTTCAGAACAAAATCCAGCAGAGACTTCTGCCACACACAGCCGAAACAAAGAGACAAACCCACATTTACTGCTAAAATGAGAGGTCACCTGACGTCAAACCTTGTTGTGAGGTCACCTGAGGTCAAACCTTTTTGTGGGGTCACCTGAGGTCAAACCTTGTTGTGGGGTCACCTGAGGTCAAACCTTGTGAGGTCACCTGAGGTCCTACCTTGTTGTGGGGGTCCGTGTGCACCAGGGTGTGTGAGCGCAGGTGAGGGATGTTCAGGGAGGTGAACTGACCCGCCCACAGAGCCGCCCACTCTCCGTATGAATCCACCACCTGGAGTCTGAGAGGATCAGCTGGTTTCAGCTGCTCTGCTCGTTCCTTCGGCTGATCTAGAGGATTGATGATAAAATATGAAGAAGCAGAACAAACATTTATTCACTGATCCTCTTTTTTTAACTTCAGTTCAGAGTTTAACATTTAATTAAAGTGTTTAGAGGAGAAAATAAAAAACTACAAGACAAACTTTGGAGTTTGTGTCTGYCAGTAAAATATCTCCTGGACCACTGCATGGATTGTAATCGAATGACCGACTTTTAGAGTCTCCAGATCCAAGATGGCCGCCACAGTTATTCCAACACTCAAAGTGTTTTTACTTAWAGTGTTCAACAAGTCACTCTAACTGTACCACCAGCCTTCCTCCTCCTCTTCCTCCTCTTCYTGCTGCAGAGTCTGGTTTTAGGTGCTCCAGGGTCACCCCCATGGTCAGAGTCTGGTTCTGGATCAGGACCAGGGTCGGGGTCGGACAGCAGGCTGGCCAGAGTCAGAGCGTGAGGCCCTCCACCGATTATTAACACGTCGAGCACCTGAAACACGACGAGTTCAACAGATTCATGTTCAGGAAGTGAAACCTCAGGATTTAAACCAGGTTTAAAGATCCAGAACCAGATCCAGAACCAGATCCAGGTCCTCTCAGACTCACACTGTCACCCTGCAGAGTCTCCTCCTCCATCAGAAGACCGGGACGAATCGTCTCGTTCTGTGTTCTTGATGAAAACCTTCAAGGTTGGTCAGAAACGACAGCCGAGGACGGTGGCAGCCGGCAGTAGCAGCAGCATGTGTCTCTGCTGTAACTCAATCTGTCGCTCATGTTTGGACTTCTCTGGCTCAAGAGGCAAAGCTGAAAATAACTCCAGAACATGTGTGTGATCATAAAAACACTGCAGCTCAGGACCAAGTCCGCTTTCTTCCCAGAACTGATATTTTTATTTTTATTCCTTTAAAATCAAATAAAAACAATCAAGAGTTTTATAAAAAGATCAGATATTCTAAAAATTAAAAAACACATTTATGCTAATAAACCATTATAAAATACGCTTTTCGTGTTTTAGTCTTGAATTTTTTCTGATCTTCCCTCCAGCTTTCTGAGGCTTCCTCAGCGCCCCCTGGTGGTCCCACAGGGGCCCGCAGGCCCCACTTTGAAAAACTGGCATTAACATTTTAATATAACTTTATGACATCATCATCATTATGGCTTTTATAAAAATGTTTTTGGGAGGTCACCTCTGAATACGCTGACTTTAAATACTTCAGTACATTTTAAATCAGAAATTTACTTTTGATACTYAAGTACAGTAAATATCAGATATTCTTAGAGAAGACTTTAACTTTTACTAAAGGAAATTTATGATATAATATTTTTACTTTTACTCAAATATCACTGAAGTACTTCAGAAACTCAGTTGTATGTTTTGATTCTCCACAGCCGTGTTTTTGTTTTGTTTTATAATAAACAAAAGGAACAAACAGAAACACAAAAACCTTCAATAAATCATAATAAAAACCAAACATGAACAAAATCAAAACAAAAATGGAAACAAAGGAGTGAGTTTAACAGAAACTGAGCCCTAAATCAGAGTGGTAGTAGCTGAGAGTCATTCTGATAAAAGTTTGATTCAAAAGGTCAGAACTTATAAGATGATTAAAACTTTTGCATAAAGGCAGCAGGCGACAGGCRTTCCTCACTAAAGCKTTTTAAATTTATCTTCTGAACYCAGTTTTCTTTAACAGATGTTAAAAACATCAAAGATTGTTTTAAAATGTWTTTATTTTGTCAGTTTCTGTTGCTTTGAGCACAAAATGAGTAAAAATGTTGTTGTTTCATCAGAACAGAGCTGTTTTTCTGTTCAGAGTTTAGAAGAATAAAACCAGCAGTTAAACGATCTCATTTCTGCTCTTCATCAATGAAAAAGTTTGTGTCGAAAAGAAGAAGCTGAGTTTTCAGCTCCACGTTTCAAGTCGACAGAAACACGAGTCGCTTCTCCTTTTCTCTTCAGCATCAATAAACTTTTTATTCCCTACAAACGTCTCTGAAGCTTCATTTACAAAAACACAGAAGTTTTCGTGTTTAAACAGGTGCAGCGAGATCAACTTGGTGGTTCAGGAACTGCTGACAGTTAGAAATCATTTCTAATTTTATTTGTTCTGTTTTTAAACTAAATCATTTTACTCACTTCCTCCTCAGAAACCAGTTCCTCATCCTCATTCCCACTTCCTGCTCTGCAGGCAGAAAAACATTGAAAGTTTCCAAARACACCAGTTTGATGAGCTGCAGGCGACATGGACCTGACCGTAAGCTTTCATTTGATCAAGTCTTTGTTTAACTTGACCTCTGCTGTTTCACCAGGTGTTTGTGTTTCAGGAGTCCCCGCTGAAAGGAGGCGTGATCATTTCTCACCAGCTCCATGAAGGGAAGCACCAGTATGAAGTCAAACAGGTGATAAAGTACAAGAAGAGCGGGAACAAGATGTTTGTCAGGTGAGGATCCAACTCCTCTCAGCTTCAAGTCCCTGACTTCAGCAACACGAGACTCTGAAACCACCAGAAACAAGTCAGGAGGACCTGGATCCAAACGACCCGCCAGGACCCAGTTCTGAGACTGAGGTCTGGTGGGTCGGTGGGTCCAGGTGGGTAAAAGAAAACAGATCATTCTGAGGACCGGGGCTGGGTTTTCATTTTCATCTCAGAATTCTGACTTTTCTTTTCAGAATTTTTATGTTTTTCTCAGAATTTAGATTTGTTC